GCCAGCTGGAAAAGGCGGGAGCGAGCCTGGCCTTCCCGCAGCACATCCCGCTCTCCCGGCAGGTCAATGGAAACTGGATCCCCTGGAAAAAGCCTCTCCTGGGGGGTTTTTCTGAGGTTTTCCTGCCTTGCTGTCGGTTGGAACCGCGACGGACGCCCGAGCGTGCAGCAGCTCTGCGCAGCCCTGTGCCGCCGGCATTCCCTGCCAGGAGCAGCGCCAGGAGAAGACCGGGAAGGCGTTTCCCGCCAGTGCCATTCCCTGCTCCCCGTCACGCGCCGCATCCAGGACTAAACCTGCTCCCGTTCATCCCAAGGGACTCCCACGCCGGCGAGGGACTGAGAGCGGCTGTAGCGAGCCGGGAGCGGGGGGAACCAGAGCAACGGCACACTGGGGGCGAGCCAAGCGCCTGTCGTTTTCAACAAAAGAGCTAAATAATGGAATTAGCAGCAAGGGAAGAAGCTTCACTGCCACCCACCACAACCTTCTTCCATCTACGGACCACACCTGCCTAAACTCACTGTTCGTCCTTTAGTGTGTTCACATGGAACCAACGGAAAGTGTCAAACGGAAGGAAGTTACCCAATTTCCATATAGGTTATTTATACCTAGGTCCCAGAGTTGACAGTATAATTTATTAAGTATCTCACCCTGTATAGTGACATTTTTACTAATTAATATGGAGCCAGCTATACACACTGCATATGTACAGGTATTTTCATAAGGCATATAACATCTTTGCATTGAAAATAAATGAACATTATTAAATTTAATTTAATATATACTTTCTTTGAGGTGTTTATGAAAATATTTTTTCTCTATATTTTCGTATGTGACATGATAGAAATATTTCATGGGAAGTACAGGTTAATATATTTTATCTTTATAAAGGCATATACAACTTTGAGGCAGTGTTTCTGATGGACAGCAGAATTCCTAAAGGATTTGTATGTGCTTCTGTGTTTTGAAATCATATGAAATTGACTTTAAGAAGTTAACTTGATTAAAAAAACGCACCAATGCACAGCCAGAGGCTGACAATTAAAACTAATACATAGCCACATGAACAATATATTTATATCGTTAATATATTTGTTTGTTTGTTTGTTTTTTCCCCAAGGTGATTGGTTCTAACATAGAGTATTATACATTTGGCACTACTGTTTGCCATTGGTCCAGCAATTGGCAAAAAATTTGTTTCCTATGTATAAATCTGTTTGAACATTAGATCTGGCTAGACATATTTACTATTTATATAAAAATATTTAGACAGTAAGCTCACGTTGAATAACTAGGTCTACTGTATTCTGGAAACTCTTCAGTAGTAATACAGCTTTCTCGTGTTCCATATGTACAAAGCTGTGTCCGTTTGCCTGAAACACAAAAACAAGAAGAGGAAAAATAAGTGAGATTCTGTTCAGTGTCTTCGCTTTGGGGGAGCAAAGGGATACATGAAAACGAAAGCCAAGGCTAAAATAAGTAATAATCATACAATGATTTCCCGCCAACAGGAGTTTGTACCGCTGAGAGAACACATCTCCCTCCGTCGGAGCGATGCTGCACCCCCCTGCTCCGAGCAGGGGCTGCACTAGCTGACCTCCGGGGCTCCTTTCCAACTCAAATTATTCTGTGACCCTCCGATATTCCGCCTGTTTTCTGGAGAAACCCTAACTCGGGGAGGTGAGAGCTTCGGACGTGGTGAAGCCCGCGGGAAGTCACCGCTGCCAGCATGCATTGCTGGCTACAGCGGAGGCTGGGACCAGATGCGGACATGCTGCCTGTGCAAAAAGGGGAAACCACGCTGAATGAACTGCTCTGGGAGCCAGGCTCAGCTGGAATTCAGCAGCAGAATCCTCCCGTCCTTCCGCGGGGAGCCCGCCGCCGAGGGCACGGTGAGCACGCGTCGGGGGGGCAGCGGTGGTGGAGGCTGCCGGGGCAGGGAGGGTCCGAGAGACAGGCTGCAGGGGCAGAACCGGGTCTCTCCAGCTTACAGCAATCCCATGAACACGCCGCGCTTCGACTAAATATATGTATTTTAAGGAACCTTTAGAAATCGGTCAGCGGAGCCTTCGTGCTTGGGTTAATTAACTCCCAATTACAGCCCCGTACGTAGAACTGCCTGTTGCACATACCCAGAGGTTGTACGTTGGTGTCTTCTTGCCCACCACAAACCCATTCTGGGCCACGTTACACAGGGCAGACAGACTGCACGCGCCGGCACGGCACAGGACAAGCAGCA